CCAAAAAATTTTAAGTAGAGGTTTAAAAATTACAATTTAGAAACATTAGACAGTTTTTGCAGACTTAGTGTTGACATTGTAAATATCAAGCTCTACCAGCGCTTCGTTAAGTAGATGGCATACATCAGGGTTACCAGCAGTCACTCGGCAGCTGACACTCTACCTTCAAGCCACAGGCAGTCAATCACCTGCCACACTGAGGGTAGGCACCCTGAGAGGGAGATGATGTCTATGGTAAGAATAACTATGTTAAATGTGTTCAGCATTTAAAAAATCTTTTAAAAACTACATTGAATTCATTTTTACATGAAAAATATGTAACAATTTAGAAGGTGAAAGTTGTCCATAAGTCACCCACTTAAAACACATGAGCATTTATTGAGTGCTTACTATGTGCTGGACCTTATCCTACACACTTTAAATGTGTTACATCATGTGTATTAGGTAATATTGTGACTAAGATCCAGAGAAATGAAATCCCTTGCCCAGGATCAAACAGCTAGTACAAGGTGGAAGTTAGATTTAGATCTGAGTAGTCTGGCTCCAGAGCAAGTCCTGTCAACAATTTCTCTGAGTGAAATTTCTTCCCCAGAGATAATTGCTAGTACTGTTTTGCTGTATGTTCATTTAGTTTTTTTCCTATGGCCACACACACAGACACACAAACACAAACAAGCTCACACTAGATATATTATTTTGTGGCTTGCATTTTTTTTTCATGTAATATATCCGGGTCATCTTTCCATTTCAACAGAATTAGTTTTATTTCACTTTTGTAATGTCTACATAATATTCCTTAGTGTGGATATTGCCTAATATATTTAATCAGCCTCCTATCTCTATCTCTATATATAAAAGCCTAAGTGACAAAATGACTGAACGACCGAATGACCAGTTGACGGGTCGCTATGATGAGCACTGACCACCAGGGGGCAGCTCCTGTGTTGAGCATCTGCCCCCTGGTGGTCAGTTCACTCCCATAGTGGGAGCGCCGCTCAGCTAACCAACATGCACCAGAGGTAGGGCTCATGGCTGGCGAGCGCCACTGCGGTGGTGTGAGCCTCTCCTGATTGGGACTGACTGGAAGCAAGCCCATGGCAGTTGCAGCAGGGCTGGGATGAGTGAAGTGGCAGGCAGGATTGGCAGGCGGCGTTGGACAGCTGGTTTCCGCCCGATCCCCACAGGCCACACCAAGGGACCCCAGTGGTGCACAAATCCATGCACCAGGCCTCTAGTATATATATAAAAACCTAAGTGACCCGCTGACCATTTGGTAGCTATGACGCGCACTGACACCAGGAGGCAGACGCTCAATGCAGGAGTGGAAACCACAGGCATGGAAACATAAAACAGACTGATGAATCTCAGAGAGAAGGGGGAAGAGGGAGGGCAGGAAGAGATCAACCAAAGATCTTATATGCATACTAGAGGCCCAGTGCATGGATTTGTACACCGGTGGGGTCCCTCGGCCTGGCCTGCAGGGATCGGGCTGAAACGGGCTCTCTGACATCTCCCAGGGGTCCCAGATTGTGAAAGAGCACAGGCCAGGCCAAGGGACCCCACCGGTGCATGAATCGGGCCTCTAGTTAATAGATTTTAAGAGAGTTGACTCTTGCAAATTGTGATAAGCATAACTTATATTTCCTTACATTCAAATATTTGGAGAAAATATATTACTAGCATTGGTTATTTTCTTTCTTTTTTTAAAGACTGGCTTATTGATTTTTAGAGAAAGAGGAATGGAGAGGGAGAGAGAGAAACATCCATGTGAGACATCGATAGGCTACCTCTTGTACACCCCCCATCGGGGACTGAACCTGCAACCCGGCATGTGCCCTGACCTGGAATCGAACCGGTAACCTCCTGGTGCAGGGGGCAATGCTCAACCAACTGAGCCACACTGGCCAGGGCTGGCATGAGTTATTTTCACATGACACTTACTACTATCTCTTAAAATGCTAATGTTTTGTGGAGCATTGGGAAGCAAATTGAAATACTTCAAAAGCTGTAATAAGCTTCGGTTTGTGAGTTCCTCCTTTTGTGTCACAAGGCCGTGGTCATGCAGCAGAACCCCTGTAGCCAGTCTCCTGCCCCACATCGCCAGCCCGTCCCCACACACTCAAACATCGCAACTCCTGAAAGACAAGACCAAGATATCAGGCAACAGAGAGGCAGAGGACCCACACTTTCTCCAGCCTCAGGCCCAGCGTGTTGATCTCTACATTTTTGGCCCGAGGGAACAAGACTTCAGTGGGTGGGTAACGGATTGATGAGCCAGGAAAATTGGCTCAAGGAGATGTGAGGAGATAGCTACCAGATGTTGACAGCAAGATACATGGGGACTTTGAAAATGTGCCCATCCATCAGCTTTGTCAAATCTAAATATTTTGCTGTATTTGAAAATGAAGAAAAGAAAAAAATTGTTCAGATGGGGGTGGGGGGAGGAGCTTGTTATCTCTTACATTGTGTTAGATGGAAGTTTAAAGCATACTTACGTAACAGCAAAATTTATATCTAATGCCATGTGTTAGTTTTCTTCTGTTGGTCCCGCTATGTTACATAAATCTCTAAGTGATAGAAACCTAGTGTTTTTATATGCATTTTTAGGGGCGGGGGAAAGCCATTTGAAATGCTTAAATTCATATATAGAGCTAGATTTTTTTGTGATTATTTTTTTAAAGAATAGTTTATTGATTTTTAGAGAGAGAGGAAGGGAGAGGGAGAGTAAGAGAGAAACATCAATGCGAGAGAAGAACATCAATTGGCTGCCACCTGCATGTCCTTACCAGAGATCAAGTCTGCCACCTCTGCACGTGCCCTGACCAGGAATCCAACTGGCAACCTTTTGGTGCATGGGACAATGCCCAACCAACTGAGCCACACTGGTCACAGCTCTGTGATTATTATTACGGATTCTCAAAATTAGAAAATGTTAGGTTATCTAACATATATATATATATGCCTAACCAACCGTCCAACCGTTCAACCATCCAACCAGTAGCTATAACATCCACTGACCACCAAGGGGCAGACACTCAACACAGGAGCTGCTGAGCTGCAGTGACTTGGCAGCTGTGGTTCTCTGTTGACACACCAGAACCAGAGAGGAGAGAGCCCAATTCTGGGGGGTGTTACCTGAGAACCACCCTGTCGCAATCTGGGACCCCTCGGGGGATGTCGGAGAGCTAGTTTCAGCCCAATCCCTGCAGGCCAGGCTGAGGGACCCCACCTGTACACTAATCCGTGCACCGGGCCTCTAGTTTAAATAAAACATTGCAGACATATCTGAAGCCCCTTACCAGTATACCAGGTATGAATGTATTTCGTTGAGATTTGCATTTCTTTGAACACTAGTGACGTTAAACATTACTTATATGCCATTGTTTTTTAAATTTTCTTGTTTGTGAATTTCTTACCTATAACTTGCCAATTAAAAATGGTTTGGCCTTTTAATGATTAATAAATTCTGGCTACTAACCCTTTACCAGTTATATGCATTGCCAATGCCATCTCCCTGTCTGTACCTCATCCTTCCTTTTATTCCTGGTGTCTTCCTTTGTACTCAAGCTTTTCATATGGACCTAGTCAAGTATCTTACATTCCCCACCCCCACCCCACCCCTTTACAGTGATGTCTTGCTGAAGAAGTCTCCCTGCATCCTGAAGTCATAAAAACTCTTATATTTTTGTCTAAGCATTTTATTGTTTGGCGAATGACATTTGGGTTTAGAATTGGTCTTTGTGTAAGCCATAGGGAGGAATCTCATGTTCTTTTCCTATCTCATGTAGATAGATAGTTGCGCCCTCCCCCTGGGGCAGGGGAGCAGGAGAAACCCAAGCTCTCTTATCTGAGGCCACTGGTTCTTTGGGAATCTCTCCTCTTGACTCCCAGCTGAGTCAACCACACCCCTCCATCCCCTCTTGGCTCCTGGAAGCACCTATCAGAAAAAGCTATGATGCCCCCTCCCCTCCCAGCACCTTTAACATTCCTCCAGCTGTAGCCATGATTACTTTGTATTGTCATTTTTTTCATCTATCTACTGTGTACATGTGTGTGAACACGCACACACTGCAGTGAATTCTTACGGGACCAGAGACCTAGAAGCATTGTGGTTAAAACTTCAGGATTTACCATTGACTAGCCGGGTGACTTTGGGAAGTTACCTAATCTCTCTGTGTCTCAACTTCTCCATCTGTAAAATGGGGGAAGTACTGATCTAAGAGGGATGTTTAAGCCGCTAACCCATGCGGAGGGATGAGGCCCATAAGAAGCACTCCATAAATGCTGGCTTACCAGGGTGATTCTCTGTATCCCCGATCCTGAGCAGTGTCTGGCAGTTGGCAGGCACCCATGAGAACTTGTCCAATGAATATAATTATAGGAGCTCTGGTCTGAGCACACCCTTTGGGTTTTGTTCATTTGTGAGGAACATGACCCCTGGATGGCTACTGAGGCTGCGGCCAGAGCAATGCCAGCAAGAAGCCCACGTCGGGGAGATGGTGGTGAAGGGGGGCTTCCTCATGGGTTTGTAGACTGCAATACAGACCCAGACAGAGCGCTACCAGGAACCCGGAACTATGAAGGAGCAGAGGTCAATGAGGTGTAATTAATGCCAATGACCTTGTCAACGCCCGGTCAGGCAGGTGGGAGGTCGGGTACAGCAATGGCCCTGCCTCCCGCAGTCAGACCTGGTTGCAGGAGGAGAACTCGGTGGGAAGGGCAGTACTGAGCACCGAGGAGCCAAGGTGATGCTCAGAGTATTTGCGCCCGCCATGCTCCCCGCCTCCCTCACCCCTGTGCCTGGCCCTTCAGGTCTGTGTGATCACACTCCCCTGGAGCCTCAGACTGGGGACAGACTGCGTCCTCCAGGCCGGGAACCTGGGAGAAGGTGATGTCAGCAGGGATGTCACAAGCAACAGTCATCCAAGCACAGACCTCATCCTCCCACACCAGCCTGTGGACCTCAAGCCCCCACCCTTCTCTCCCTCCCTTCCCTCCCTTTCTGGTCCTCAGGTTCCATCCTGTGGGCAAGGCTGAGGTCCCATCATGACTGAAGGCGAGCAAGGTACTGATGGAAAAGTCCCAAACCAGCCACCTGAGCAGGAGGCAGCGAGCCCCCAGTCCTGGGAGAGATGGGAGCAGAGACCGCCTGACACTGGAATCTCACAGAGGGGTCTGGGGTTCCCTTTGACTGTTGGATTCGATGACCTTTAATGTCACTCTTGAGAAGAGATGAATCTGCGATTCCAAGTCATCCTCCCCCTAATGTGACAGGACACACCCTTTCTGCCCACAGGGCCTGGGGTTCCAGGGCTCAGGGCCCCGCTTCAGGGCCTGTCTCCAGAGGGCCCTGTGGGCGTGGACTTCGGGGAAGCAGGCATCTCGCTCACCGCTCTGTCTGCCTGAGACGCAGTGGGCGGAGGGAAGGCAGAGGAGCCCCAGGCAGTTCTGATGAAGCTGTGTGGGCCCTGCCAGAGGATGGATTAGAATCAGGAGGCCAAGAAGGAGGAGAGGAGCTGGGGTGGCAGATAGAACTTTCCAGCCAGGCCTTGAGGCCCTGAGGGGACAGTTAAGGGAGGGGCTCTCATGGGGACAGTCACCAGCAGAGGAACTTTCCTAACCGTTAGGATTTCACAGCCAGGTCAGGAAGGAAGTGAGACCAGAGAGGGGGGTGAAGATTGGGTTACTCAGAAGCACTGGGTCCCAGGCCCTCTCCAGTCAGAGGGGAGTGGGCAGGTATCCAGAAACCCCTTGGTCCCCATCTGCCCTGCAGCCCTCAGACTCAAAGCTTCTCTCCTCTGGGTGATAAGGCTTTTCTTCCTTTGCCCCCCCTTCCTCATCTCCTCCGCAGGAAGGGATGGCCCTTGATGGTTTGGGACCGTCTCGGCCACAAGAAGTCACCCGTCCCTGGGAGAGCAGCCCTGTGCCTCCCACAGGTGCTCACTGCGAAGTGACGTCTGCCTTCTGATCCTGGGCTCCTCCTGGGCAGCCGGCTGGGGCGCAGGGCTCAGTTTTTAGCGATGCTGGCATATTCCACAGCCAGAAATGGGTCAGGTGTGGGCCTCAGGCCGGGGCGGGTGTTGATGTAGATGGGGTCCTCCAGGCCGAAGGGGTCCAGGTGGGTAAATGAGGCATAGTGGATGTCCCCAGTGTCCTTGACAGAGCCTAGCTGCTTGTCGGAGCCCTGGGAATCAAAGACAGACAGATGTCCACTGTATGGATCATAGCTGGGAGTGGTCAGGGGCCCCCGGGTGTCCAGAGCTGTGCCGAGGATAGGGACAGGGATAAGGTATGGGACAGGGTGTGGGTCCTTCAGGAACTCTGGCAATGGCAGAAGGCAGCAAGGACACCTTCACTGAACATGATTAGAATAAGGAAGGTGAAGAACCAAGATGCCGGTGTAGGTAAACATGGTACTCGCAGCCTCCCACAACCACATCACAATTATAACTAAAATACAGAGCGACCATCATTCAGAACCGCCAGAAAGCTGGGTGTTGGAAGTCCTACAATTAGAGAAGTAAAGAAGAAAGTACATTGAGACTGGTAGGAAGGGCGGAGGTGTGGAACAGGCTGGTTCAACAGACACGTGTAGCGTGTTTTTAATCGGGAGGGATATCTTGGCTGTGGAGGCCTCTTGTGAGAAGCCTCACACCAGACCCTTCAGCTCAGGTTTCCAGTGCCAGGAGGAGAAGTCTCCTTAACTTTGGGCTATAAAAACCAGTGGGGATTGTGGCTGAGTGACACGGAGGCTGCTGGAGTTCCTCTTAAAGGGCCAGTGCATGAACTTACTTGGACTTGCTCCCTCTGCGCTCCAGTGCTCGGGTAATGGCTTAGGGCAGTGGTCGGCAAACTCATTAGTCAACAGAGCCAAATATCAACAGTACAATGATTGGAATTTCTTTTGAGAGCCAAATTTTTTAAACTTAAACTATATAGGTAGGTACATTGTTATTAACTTAATTAGAGTACTCCTAAGCTGGCCTTTGCTAAAAACGTCCTCAATCTGATTGAGGTCGACCCCTTCCAACTCTCCCATCCACACTCGTCTTGTATACTTGTTTCGTCTATCTCCTTTCGTTCATCCTCTCTATATGTCCAAACCATCTCAACATACCTTTCTCAATCCTCGACACTACATCTTTTTTCATTCCACAGCGTTCCCTAAAATTAACTTAATAAACTTTAAAGTTTCAAGTCTTAGTTAAACTGTAGTACGTTGAATAAAACTTGATATCATACTTAATAATGATATTATTTATTGATAAAATAAAATTCCTTACAATTTACCTTACAATATCCATAAAATTAAATCATGACAATGACTGACAAACACTAATGTGAACAATGGCCTTGCATCTCCTTGGAAAGCTTGGGTAAGTCAGGTTTGTATGTTGTTGTTTTTAATTTTAGGCACGACTTCTGCGCATGGGCCATGAAGTTTCAATCGCACTGTACATGCATGCCCGCACATGGTATTTTGTGGAAGAGCCACACTCAAGGGACCAAAGAGCCGCATGTGGCTCGCGAGCTGCGGTTTGCCGACCACTGGCTTAGGGGGATCGAGGGACATACAGAGAGGAACTGGATTGTCTGGCATGGGAGCAAGAACTTGGGGGAGGCTTTCTCCAAGATAGGAATGCTCATAAGGTTCATTGTTCCTATGCTGAGACCTCCACGGTCACAGAGCTGACTAGCAACCACATCTGAGTCTCCATCAACCTGGTTCACACTGTTTGCTCCACCCTGGTGATTCCCTGAGACCCTGCCTCATCCAATTTGCCACCCTACTCAAGCTGTTTGCAGCTTCTTTTCCATATGATTGGCCTGTCCTGGCTCAGGCTTTCCTAAAATCTCTCAAACAATCAGCAGTTGGTGTCAGCATGCCCCATATTTATCAATAAGAGGCCCGAGACCAGGCACTAGCAGCAGCCTAGCTTGCTTCACAGCTTGGCCTCTCCTGGCTACTTCCAAGCCCAACACAAGTAGCACCCACCTGCAGATCACTCTATAGTTCCTGACCAGGGGGCAGGAGGCAGTGGCTGATTTTGCACCTCCTGTGAGGCTTCAGAGCCAGTGCACCCAGTGGACAGCTTCAGACCACACCAGATTACAACTCTACACACCCAAGAGTGACACACTAAGGGGCAAACTCAGTGAGCACCAAAGCCCCACTGAAGCAAGTTCTGCTCCACAGGGGTGTCTCCTGCACAGCAGCTCTTCTGCTGTAGCCACAGCGGGCCCTCACAGTCAATTGGCCTGGAAGCCAATTCCTCTCAGTGATGCCAATAGCAATCAAAGCTCAACTACAACAAGACTATGCATACAGCCCACATAGGGGTGCACCTAGAGTGCCCAGCTCACATGACTGGGGAGGCTGAGCCACTGGGCCCTACAGAACACCTACTACACAAGGCCACTCTACCAATTCCAGGAGACATAGCAGCTCTACCTAATATATAGGACAAACACAGAGAAGCTGCCAAAATGCAGAAACAAAGAAACATGTCACAAATAAAAGAACAAAAATCTCCAGAAACAAACAAACAAACACTAAATGAAATGGAAGCAAACAAACTACTAGATACAGAGTTCAAAACAATGGTTATAAAGATGCTCAAGGATCTTAATGAGAGCTTCAAGAAACTTGATAATTTCAAGAATCTAAATGAGAATTTCAAGAACCTTAGTGAGAACATAAAAAAAAAAAATGAAAAAGGACCAGTCAGAAATTAAGCCTACACTAACTGAAATAAATAATAATTTACAGGGATTCAACAATACAGTAGAGGACACTGAGAATCAAATCAGTGACTTGGAATATCAGGAAGCAAAAAAAATACCCAGTCAGATGAGCAAAAAGAAAAAAGAACCCAAAAATATGAAGATAGTATAAGGAGCCTTTGGGACAACTTCAGCATACCAACGTTCTCATTATGGTGAGTGCCAGAAGGAGAAGAGAGAGAGCAAGATATTGAAAAACTGTCTGAAGAAATAATGACAAAAAACTTCCCCTATCTGGTGAAATAAATAGTCTTGCAAGTCCAGGAAGTGCCAAGAGTCCCAAACAAGAGGAACCCAAAAGAGGCCCACACCAAGATACATCATAATTAAAATGTAAAGATTAAAGACAAAGAGAGAATTCTAAAAGCAGATAGTTACCTACAAGGGAGTGTCCATATGACTGTCAGCTCATTTCTCAACAGAAACTTTGCAGACAAGAAAAATTCAAAGTGATGAATAGTAAGGACTTACAACCAAGATTACTCTACCCAGCAAAGCTGTCATTTAGAATTGAGGGTCAGATAAAGAGCTTCACAGACAAGAAAAAGCTAAAGGAATTTATCATCAACAACCCAGTATTACATGAAATGTGGATGGGTATTCTTTAAGAAGAGGAGGAGGAGGAAGAGGAAGAGGAGGAGGCAGAAGAAGAAATATGAACAAAAAATGGTAATAACTACATATCTGTCAACAACTGAATCTAAAAATCAAAACAAACAAGTAATCTAATGAACAAAATAAACTGAGGAATAAGATAGAACCAGAGCCATGAAACATGGACTAGTCTGACAAATCTCAGAGGGAAGGGGGGTGGTGGGGAGAGATTAACCAAAAAATTTACATGCAGATATGCATTACCTATGGACACAGACAGTAGGGTGGCGAAGGCCTGGGGCAGGGTGGGAACAGGTGGAGGGGGGCAATGGGTGGAAAAAGGGGGACATCTGTAATACTCTCAACAATATAGATAAAAAAGAAGAAAAGAGAAAAGAAAAGAAAAGAAAAGAAAAGAAAAGAAAAGAAAAGAAAAGAAAAGAAAAGAATAAGGAAGGCTACACAGAGTGCAGTCCAGTCAGAGGGCCAGCAGCGCCATCTCAGTCTCCACCCAGATCTATTAACCCAAAGTCTCCGGGGGTGGGACCCAGAGTGGCTGAGCCACTGGCCGTCATGACCCAGCAGATAAGTCGGCATTAAAAGCTGTCTCCCACAGAGGGGAGCTTGGTCAGTCAGCTTCTCCCCCCTCTCTGAGGAGTTTGAATTGGGAAATTTGGGGAAAGAACATGCACAGACAAGGCATTAGGGGCATGACCAGTCACAAGTGAGTCCAGAAACTGTAAGTAAACAGAAGCCAGGAAGT